GAGAGAGAGAGAGAGAGAAAGAGAGAGGGTTCTATTAAAAGGGACTGAATATAAATTCAAAACTGTATTCCTTTTAAGGTATATTGTTCAAATGTAACAGGCTGTTTTAATTTACTAGTCATATTGAATTGATAAATAACATTTTAGGCACAACATGCTATAACAAGTTAAGTATTTTTAAATGTAAAATGTTGCTAGTAGTTAATTAAAACTTAAATATCGCATTTATTTTAAAGTTTTATATTTAAAATTCGTTAATAATTATATTTTTAATTGAATATTAATGTTTAATAATCATTTATAACATAAAATTAAATAAATAAAATTATTATTTTTACTCAAAATAGAATAATCTAATGTATGATTTGTTTCAATTACAGTTTACATTTTGTTATACTTAACTGACTATAGCACAATCACGCCCATTTGTGCTTTTGTATTATTATTGTATTACCTTGGAAGTTATGAATTATAACTAGGATTGCAATAAATATGGATAAAAAGTGGGTTTTTATAACTGGGCTAAGTACAGTATATCCCTGTGATTCATTAAAAACACATTCATTAATTTAATCAGTTTTTGATTTTCAAAAATATTAATTTATTATAATAATTTTATATGAATATTGTACTCAATTGATAACATTGCCTATTTATTACCATTTTCTTTAAATTTGTTGATTATTCAGATAATTTTATTATTCATAATATATATTTTCATCGATTAATATAGGTTTGAGTGTTTTATCAATTGAATACTAATAGAAAATTATTATAAAGGATTAAATTATTGAAAATCAAAAAATGATTTTAAAAAGTGAATAAGTTTTGTATGAATCACAGGGATGCACATTTATAATAGCTACTTTTAATTACATTATTTTGTCATTCCTAATTATAACTTATAAATTAAATAATAAATAATTTACGACATTTATAGTCAGTAAAATATAAGAAAAACATTTGTTTTGGTTTTAAACCAGTTTTGAATAGTATTACCAATGGTATTAAACTTATATCTAATACTGGTAATGCTGTATTCAAAACTGGTTTTAAACCAAATCAAATGTTTTTCTTATATTTTACTGACAATATTTAGAAATTTAAGTGATAAATATCCAGTTATTTAATAATATCTGATATAACATTTATATAATTTTGCATATTAAACTAAATTTTAGTATTTTCATTGACGTACATAAAGTTAGAAAATAATGCAATAAATATACTTACAAAAGATGAGTGTACATGATTAAGATTACATATAAATGTGTCATTTCATTGCCATTTCTTTTTCTTTGTCAAGTAGCCATTTATAATTTTAAAGCAGTGTTAACAAACAAATACTACAGGGCGTAGTAAAACTTTGCGACTAAAGTGTTTGAATATTTGGCCAGTATTTTAACTTTTTGAAATTTTTGTACATGGTCCACTACCTGTAAGTCAATCTTTTTCTGTCGATCATAACATGAATATATGAAAAGTCCAATTCTGAAACGCTCGATGTGTCTGTGAAAACAAACTGTAAACTGAAGTGTTTCTCTATATATTATATCATACCCAACTTGATTGCTATACATTAATTAGTTAAATACTTAAGTTTACAGTATGCTTTCAGACACATCGATCTTTTCAACTTGTTGTGTCTCATGTGGATTAATACTACACTGAACTAAATGTTTACTGTATTCAAGCTGTAACCAAAGCATAAATATTATATTCAGCACAGTTTTGTAATGCTGAATAGTATAAATTCTATGCCATGATTACAGTCTGAATGCAATAAACATTTAGTTCAGTGTAGCATTAGCCCACATATGAGACACAACATGCTATAACAAGCTAAATATTTTTGAATGTAAATAGTTGCTTGTAGTTGATTAAAACTTAAATATCGGATTTATTTTAGTTTTATATTTAAATTTAGTTAATTATATCTTTAATTATATATTAATGTTTAATAAACATTTATAACATAAAATTAAATAAAACTATTATTTTTACTCAAAATCGGATAATCGATTATATGATTTGTGCTCTAATTAGTTTACATTTTGTAAGACTTAGCTCACCATAGCACAATCTCGCATATATTATATTCATGTTGTGATCGGCAGACAAGATTGATAGCTTATTGTAAAGGAGTTATGCTTAAGACTCGTTTTACTTATATCTTATTTCTTTTCAAGTACGATCAATTCAATATAAAATAACTTGTACAAAACAAATTATTTTTACAACCCTACCGTAATTATTTGAGTCGATCGAATAAAACGATAGCAATGTGGTCCAAACATTGTTCCTCAAGTCAATCGGAATCATTGTCCGGATCTATAATAAAATCAGCCGGATCGGTAAAAAGCGTGTGCAACTCAATGCCTAAAAGCCTGGAATTTGTGAGAAATTTGTTTATGTCTACGGATTGTCCCGATGAATTCGAAGAGGTTGTCGAATTTAAGCGGAAAATTGTCTTTGGTGAGATAATTGTCGCAAAAGGTGATATCATACAGTACAAGGGTGATGGTATTTTTCATTGGGGTATTTACATGGGTGATTGCCACATTGCCCACCTGACAACAATAGATAAAAATACGTTATCGTCGGAAAGTCACGGAATTATTGAGATGACGGACTTGGCTTGCGGCGGACAGTACAGAATGTGCCGGGTTAACAACCTGACCGAGTACGCTAAAAAGAAAAACTATCCAGCTAAATCATGGGAAGAAATCATGGCAAATGTCTACACTGGTTTATGGGCTTTCAAGAATAATCCCAATTACAAATACCACCTACTATTCAATAATTGCGGGCACATGGTCACATTCTGGAAATACGGCGTGGCGTTTAACCCTGAGGTAAATATTGGATAAATTGATATTGTATATTATTAATCAGTTCTACACCCTCTAAGGCTTCTCACAGGCTTCCCATATTTTTAACTATAGTTTTTGAAATTTTCCAAATTTATTTAAATTCAGTCAGATTAGTAGGTGCATCTGATCTAATAGACAGTCTGACTTTACATTATATCCAATACTTTTTACTGAGACGGGCCTGTGCTACGTTTTGAGGAATTCAGTTTTTTGGACATATAGGCATTTAAATATGGTTACATTAGTTTAGTACATTTTCATTTCAGGCCTTATAAATTTTTTAGATATCATTTTTAGAGTTAAATTTTGAATATTTTTTCAATGTTCACATTATGATTGACAATCCTAATTAGTGACTATCCATAACAATGCTTTTGTTTTCACGCACTAAATAACCTAAATTATTTATGATCAAATAAATTATCAATTATGGACACCAGTTTTTATGAATTATAAGGTTTGATTCCTTATCATCCCTTTCCCTTATAATTCCAAACAATGTTATGGTATATCATTGATGTATTATATGATGGGCTATAGCTTAAACTCTTGTTCAGAAACGATAATCATATACAGCGCGTGCGACATAATTAAATTAGTCCAGTTACTAAACACTAATTAATACACACTTTATTTTACATCATATTATTTCTAGCAATATTGGTAAGCAAAGTGTTCCAGAAATCATGCAAAGTTTTATACAAATTCATAAATTTACTGAATAGAACAAGCTTTAATTGATAATGTATAAAATGGGGACTGGCAAATTGACCTGAAAACCAATTGACCTAAACTTAAATAACTTAATGACCAATAGACATTTGACCATTGTAAGGATAGGTAAGGTTAGGTTAGGTCAAGGGGAACATTTTACACTGGTCATCAGGTATATTTACTTACTGGTCATTAAGATATTTAAGTTTAGGTCAATTGGTTTTTAGGTCAATAGACCCGCACCCGTCTGTCTCATTATATTTAGCACTCGGTTCATGATTTTGTGATAAATTTTTCAGTAGTTATTAGCTTTTCGTAATTACTATTATTGTTATTGTCATCGATACTCATAGAGATTTTGATTATAAAAACACAAACTGTAACTCTAAACAAATGAATAGATAATCTCGTGTAAAACTGCTAACAATAATCAAAAAAGTTTTTGTGTGCAAATATCTCTGAGGTTTTTGAAAAAACTGTTGAATCAGACTTTGAATTCAAGAACTGTTAAATTTAACTCATTTTCTCAATTCCTTTCAACACAGAGGACAGGTAGTTATACACATAGATATCTGCCACACAGCGGACAGGTAGTCATGACACACATGAGCGAACCGCATATACTACGGATTCAGAAGGACATCCGCGAGTTTTACAAAGAGTACAGTAAGCAGTTGTACGCCGTGTGCGAGGAGCAGGACATGTCGCGAGTACACGCCCTTATACTGGGGCCCACCGGCACGCCCTACGAGCGCGGCTTCTTCTACTTCACGCTACACTACGGCCGCGATTACCCCACAAAACCCCCGCACGTTAAGCTTCAGACTACCGGCGCCCGTAGAGTGCGCTTCAACCCGAACCTCTACGCCGACGGAAAGGTGTGCCTATCGATACTGAACACATGGGAGGGCCCCCAGTGGTCGCCGGTCACCACCCTATTCACGACACTACTGTCCATACAGTCGCTGATGAACGAGAAGCCCTACCATAACGAGCCGGGACACGAGGAGCCGAGCACCGGGAGGGCCGGTAGGGGACAGACTATGGATCAACGCGTGCGCGACTACAACAACATCATAGCCTACGAGACCATACGGGTAGCCGTTGTCGGCATGTTATCCAAGGACTCACCAGACGCTCAAAATATGCCGAAAGCGCTCCGGGATGTCATGATAGCATCGTTTCGCGATAACTACGGCTACTTCGAGAGCACCGTTAGGTCGCGACTCCTGATGGACGGTCAGCCCGCCAAAGACCCCTTCAAAGACCGCAATCGTCCGCCGACTTTCCAATACAAACAGCTGCTAAAGTCGTTACAGGCGTTGAAAGTGGAGCACCGGGTGGTCGACGGCGCGCCTACAGTTCCCGACAGTCAAAAGCCCTCGACTTCCTCAGAGACAGCACCGGTAGCTGCGAAAGACGACCCGCTCGTGAAGGAGTACTACTCGATGGCCGATACTATGGTGGCAAAGGGCGACCCCCGCCCCCGACAACCGGCCAAACCCGAGGTGTCGGACATTATTGCGCTCATGAATGACGGTCTCGAAGACGACTCCATGACTCTCGAGGAATATGAAGAGGACAGCTCTGTCGGAGATGCCGGTGCCGGCGGTCAACAGTCCCCTTAGCTATAGTCGTCTACCAGTTTCCCCTCCCGTTTCCCCCTATTCAGTGGACAGTTGATTGTTATTTAATATATTGTTTGTGTGAATAAGAAATAGCAATCAATATGTGATTTATATTCAAACAAAACTCTTTGATTTAATTTTAATACAAATGTTTGAATAAAACTTGATGTCATAAAACTTTTATTAAATAATAAAAAACTTTTTAATTAACATTAATTGCAGTGAGTATATAGCGTTACTATTTATGGGGCGTTAATGGGGGGAAGGGGTGTGGATAGGAGTTTGAGGGATTTACTACATATAAACTTATATTATAATAGCGTTTCTGACAATATGACCGTGATCAGTTAAAAGTTCTTACTAGTTTTGTGCTTGGTGTTAATAATAATTAAAATTAAATGAGTTAATGTTTGCTAAAAATTAAAAATAAGTGTTTTTAATAATGATAGCAATAGTGGTCAAAAATAGTGAACTCGACATAACAGCACGTATTGTATGAACAGCCCATTGGACCGGAGAGTCATATGTTTTGATTGAATGCATCGAAAAAATTGATTGAATTGTTTTGCACTCAATGTATGTCTCGTAGAGTCATAGCGTTTGACACGAAACGCGAGATTAAAATCATTTGCAAAACAATTCATTCATTCATTCAATGATTAGTTTTATAATTATAATCAACACTAAAATGACTCCACATTTGATTCACACGTAAACTATAGTAACGACTATTATATTGTGTTTAGTGTTTGTGTCACACATTCAATGCAATGCTTTTGTGGTGAAAAGCCATTTGTTTATGTGTTTTGAGTGATTGTGATCATGAAGTCAAGTGTGGACTCGTTCCGGGATCTGGTGTCCAAAGTCTTCAGCACACACTTCGTGGTGATCGCCACCGATAAGACACAGCACCTGCTGAAGCACACCATCGACGACACCGTTGATAATCTGCTGAACCACTTCCAGACGGTCCAGAAGCTCACCCGTAAGCGCCATACCCTCCCCCTTACCACCACTCGTATGCCGCACGTGTTGATAATGTCTGTTATCTGATCCCTTAGTGACCATCCGAGACCTGTGCGGACACAACGCCTACCCATTGCATGGACTGCGCCTACACTTCAGCGATGGACCGGCGCTGAAGTCGCGCCCAAACGCCAACCAAATCAAGAAATTGCAGTTCGAGTTGATATCGTCGATGACACCGCACCTGTATCCCAGTGATAGTGACTATCCACCACCTGCTGGTGCTGTCACGGATGTTGGCGGTGATACTGGTGGCAATGTAGGCGCTGGTGGACAGGGATCGACAACCACTCCGTGGTTTGATAAATGGAAACACCTGTTCATCGATACGTTTGAATTGTCTGAACACGACTTCATTGGCACTAACTTTGGCTCGTTTTTCGTGATCACGGATCAAGAGTTGGAGAGTTTTAAAGACATTTTCGCCACATTTATCACTCAGGTATGAGTGGGTCGGGCGGTGGCACCTCCTATACCACTGTAGTTGAGCCGATAATTAGAGTTTACTGCCAGTCAGTGGTGTTCACACTATATGTACGGGTATTTAAAAGTAGTGTTTAGTAATTATAATAGGGTTTAGTCACTAAACTCTAGTCTACTAATAGTCTACTTATAAGTTAAATGCTGATTGTATTGACACTTAAATGTAGTTTAGATTATAATTTAGTATAAATTTTTTGATAATGCAGTTTATCATAAAAAGTTTTATTTATTGTTTTGTTTAGTGAATAATGTACTGAAAAATGAGCCCTATTTGTGCGTAAATTAATTTGATTTTTATTATACGTTTAATTAATGCTAATAATTGTCTTATGGTTTGATTGACAGATCAAACAGATGTCATGGATCCGATGGATTCAACCGGATTTCGTGCGCTATTATGTGGTGCTATCGGAACAGTCGCTCGAAACGCACCGGTCGATGAACACCCCGAAAGCGGCCCTTTTCCGGGAACTACAGTCCATTTACCCGAACTCCTATTGGCTGCAAATCGACACACAATTGCTGAGCCAAACGCCAACCGCCGGTGCCGCTGATAGCGGCGATGACCACGTGTTTTGTGATAATAACAGCGCCGGTAGGCCTGTCGCTCGTTACGACTCCTCTGAAAGCTGTAATCACGTGACGACTCCCAGCGCGAGTCCGGCGTTTGGCGAAAGTGGGGACCCATTGATGGCTCACAAACATATCAATAACAACAGCGGCGGTCGACTCAGCAGCGCGTCCAGCGACCAGAGTCTCACCCATTCAGTGGCCAGCCTTTCCCTCCAAGACCTGAGCCAACGATACCTACAGCCGGTTCTGAAATCATCGGCGCCGGTACCCAAGTATGCCGTGTTGGGCGCCGCCATTGACGCTATGTTTAAGGAGTTTGTGACCAAAACGCTGATCCCGTGGGCCGAGAAGCACATAAAACTGTTGGGCGACTCGATAGCCGCCCGCAAAGGCTTCCGGCGCTCGATATTCTCGGCCACGAAGTCACTGATCGGCAGTATGTCGTCGCCGGCGCTCAACTCGAAGGTCACGTCCGGCGCCCAATCGGTGGTGTATATGCCGGAGGCGCCCGAAATGCAACTCCGAAAGCTGGGCGATATGGCGATGTCGCTGGGCATGTATGAGTTGGCCTACCAGTCCTACTACTCGGCTAAAAAGGACTTCCAGTCGGAGAGCGCGTGGCTCTACTACGCGAGCGCTTGCGAGGCCTCAGCCGTCGCCTCCTATTTCACGAACAAGTTTCAGAGGCATTACTTCGATCAGTCGATCACGTGCTATGTGGACACCTGTAGGGCCATGGCGTTGGCCACCCGGGCGACCATTTTGGCCACAGAAGCCGTGAGGAATGTGTGGCCCAATGAGGCGGCGAACCTCTTCATACGGATGACCGGCGATGATAGCGATCTGCGGTCAGCCCTATTCCTAGAGCAGGCCTCCTTGTGCTTCGTAGCTGCCGGTGCGAGACATAGGAAGTCGGCGTTTCACTACGTGCTGGCCGGGCATCGGTACAACCGATGCGGTCTGAAGCACTACGCGTTGGCCGCGTACCAGAAGTTTACGGGCAGTCAGTGGACTTCAGCGGCCGATCACGTGAACCTCACAATAGCCCGACTCTTCCTGACCATAGCGACCAATCACCCGACGCCCGGTGCCTATGGCGACGACTACCGGCGCCGTGGACTTGAGTTGTTGCGCCGCAATGCCTCCAAACAGTTGTTTTTTCAAGAGTTTATTAGAGAAGTGAAACGGGATCTGGAGTTTAGCGGCGCCGACACCGCGACGACTGTTGGCGACAATTACCACTACTTAGACATACCATTCATACATTCCATGGCCTGCGAGCCGGTGGACGGGTCGGTGGTGTCGACGGCCGCTGTGGACAGACATAAAGGCCAACACAACGTGTGTTTCATAGGCGAGGAACTGGTGTTTAAACTGTGCCTTAAGACTCCGTTTCCCTATGTGTTGCATCGATTGTGTTTCTATACGAACTGCGCGACTCCCGGCGCTCTCACATGTCCTCCCATTACCTCTACATTGGACGCCACCGACGAGGAGACTGTTATCTATATGTCGGTTATCCCGCAAACGGAGTGCGAGTTTGACATACTGGGCCTCGACTACCGGTGCGACGATATTGTGGACATTAAGAGCCCATTGACTGAGAAACTGGCGAAAGGGTTGTGCTTTAAAGCGATTAAGTCGTTGCCGTTAATCCAGATGGAGATTAGCTCTCATAGGCTGACGGCGCCGGCAGTGACAGGTGTTGTGAGCGCCGGCGGTTTAGTGCCGCTGTTCGCCACCGAACTCATAGACCTATCCATACGGCTGTCGAGCGCCGGTAGTGTTAATCAGTGGAAACCATCGTCGATACGATTGACATCCAATGCTATTGTGGTTAACGAGAGCACCGGTAGTCTGAAAGTTGGGTCGACTAAGGAGTCGGATATAGACGTGGATTTCCATAAGAATAATGCGTTGAAAATTCAAATACCGGTGACGTTAGGCCCGTATGACCTGTATTTTAAGCTCCAGTATAGGGACGGCACGAGCAATAAGAGTCGCACCGTTAGTAAGACTATTGGTTTGGATGTGAAGGAGTGCCTGCGTTTGGATACCAGTCCCGCACCCGAAGTGATTAGTCTCACGAATACACTACTGAATGGAGAATCAGTTTTTGTGAATCCATTTGTGGATCAAAGGCTCGAAATACCGGCGCTTATGACGGCTCATGTGCTGACTGATGGCCGGGCAGTGAACTGGACTGTGACTACAGGTGCCGGCGACGAGCGGGTCGGCGTTATTAGGCTTTAATTGTTTACGAATTGATAACTTGAACGCAAATATTATTTAAGAAAATGTGTTATTTATACGTAATATAAATTAGTTTTTGAAATTCAATTCATAATTAAATAAACACTATTTAAATAAGTTTTTGTTGTTTTTATTACTCATTCATTGAATTGAATACAGTATTTATTTGTTAATTGCAATAAAACTAAACAGAAATTGACTGAAAGTACAAAAGTTTAATATTAATTTGAAGTCTAATGCGAAAAATGGTATGAAAATCAATATTATTTTATAAATAGCGTTGAATTGTAATACAATTTGTTTTAGAAATACCATTTGTTTTACGATTAAGTGATACAATGGTTGAAATGGATGTCTGGCCTCTATATCCACTTTATGTGTCTAATCTTCAGTTGAGATCATTGTGTAACGCCTTAATCTTCAGTCTTCGGGTCACCGCATCCTCTTGAGGCCATTGCTTGAATTGTAGGTTTCATATTGAGAGTGGATTTGTTGAGCAGTTCCTGGTGTTTGATCTCCAACTCCTTATACTTGGCGTCCAACCCTTTGCACTCATTGTCCGAGTCTTTCCATTTGGTGGTCAACATCTCGTGGGTTTGTGTCAACGCCTGGATACTGGTCTCCAAAGTCGTATACTTCGCGTCTATTTGGACCGCCTTTTGGTCCCACTCTTTGCACTTAGCGTCCAAAGTGTTGCATCTGTTCACCACTTCTTCATGGGTTTAAGTCAGCGTTTTGTGACTCGTATGCAAAGTGAAGTACTTCTCCGTCCACAGGTCCAGGGAGTTGTGTCCTCTGGCGGTGCGTCCAATGGCCAAACCACACGACTTGTCGGCACAGGTAGTCAGATGCGCGGCCAACTCCTTGACGGTCACCACTTTCTGGCAGCCGTTTCACTTGAAGTCGCAACTGATCTTGAGTTTACTCACCATTGCGTTCGCTATGCTGTTCTCTTGGATCAGTACAACACCGCCGATGACCTCAACACCGATCGACTCATTCATGGCGTTTACGGATCTCTTTCTGGTGACCAATGAATGGTTGCATTTGGAACACAGTTTGATGCCATTGCTGTCGTCGATCCACTTCTGAAGGCAGTTCTTGCAGAACGTGTTTTTGCATTGAGTGTCGACGGCGTTGTCGAGGATTTGGCGACACATAAGACACTTGATGTTTACAACGAGCGACAGATCCTCAATGGTCTTGAGGTCCGGGAATCGGTTGCAGTCGAAGCCAACTATTGGATCCAATGATCACTGAATTGTGATTTCTATTAAGCAGTGAATTGATATGAAATGAAGTGTAAAAAGTTGACGCAGTTTTCAGTGAAACCAATGTATCATCAAATTCAGTCGCCTATCACTTAAAAATTAATATATAAGCCGAAAAACTCCAATCAATGTCACAATTAGTTATCTGCCCAGAGTACTTACAACCAGGCCAACTCTTGTGGACTTAAATATCGATTTCCAGATTAATATATCAATAGTTTTATAATTTGTTTTACAGTTTTTCAATATTTTTCTAACAAATTGAATAGTTTTTCTTTCACAGTCTATCAGTGAATTATTTACAAATTCGTGGACTTTTTTCGACTCGATACAAAATACATTAAATAGTTATTAAAAAAAGTTAATCAAGTTGATTTAAACGTGAAAAGTTATGTATAGGTAAAATAAAAGTTAGTAAAAATGACCCTCATTACTAATTTGAAGCTTAAAAACATTAGTTTAATTATTAATACCAAAAACGTGTTAATTTATTACAATCTAAAACTTAATACTTTTTAACAAACTTTAAATTATAATTATATTTAATATTTTTAAAATACTGTTCCCCAACTAACTGTATGCCTGTCCACTCCTTAACCTCTAATCACTTTTTAAGACCACTTCCTCCGAAGGAAGTCCATCGCTTCCAGTCTTTCGGGGCATCGCTTTTGCCGCACTTCTGATGAAACTCTTTGACGGATCTGACGAGCAGTTGCTGGTGTTTGGTCACCAACTCCTTGTGCTTCACATCCATGTCCTGCGCCTTTCTGACCAACTCTTTGCGCTCAGCGGTCGACGCATTCAACTTATGGGTCACCTCTTCG